GTTTACAAGTGGCAAAGAAGCAGTATAACAAAATGCACGATAAAACTGAACGGGATCTTTCTTGCGGTCAATGGTTATAGCTTGAATTGTTATTGGCAACCAACATGCCCCAAAACTTCCAGCGATTATGAACAACGAACGTAATTTTCTGAATTCATGTGAGGCTACCTGAAGTTGACCGGTGACAGCAAAGCCTGTTGAGCCAAACATTTTGCGTGTTTTCTGCCCAAATTGTACATGTATACAAAGAATACCGTTGATGAAATGATGTAGAATGAAACAATGTAGCGTGGAATTTTCAGATCAGGTATCTCGTCAAAGATCAAGTTCAATACAGCCAGAACAAAGACAAGAAAGGCGACCAACCATATAACGCCGGCCATGGCAAGAGATCGTTTAAAAGTTACAATGGTAGGATACCTTAAAGGTCTAACAACAGAGATGTACCGGTTCACAGTCAAGAGGAAAACACTTCCGGTAATCGTTAAAGCAAAAAAAAACTTATTGCAAGCGACGTACTGAAGGCGGAATAATACATATTGTATACATACAATGGACCTAACACAGAGGCCATTGCAGCATCTGCGCAAGCCAGGCTCAATACAAATACATTCGCGGGGTTCTCTGCAAAGCCGTCCGTTGAAATAACTGACAATATCAGTAAGAGATTCAACACCAATCCAACAAATGCAAATATCACAACAACACCAAGAAGGTTTATGGTTTCTTCTTCACTTAAATATTGGGACAACATTTCAATTCACTTGAGAGAGATTGAGCTGATAGCCGTTTCTGACGGTGATATTCGAAATGAATCTTGATTATCTCCAAAAAAGTTCTGTATTTGTAGTGGTATTTGTAAGTATTTGTAAAGAAACGATAACTTCTGACAAACTGTATATCTAAAAACATATCATGCATGCCCTTGGCGATAATTTATACATGAACCGAGCAATTAGATCCTGATTCTTAATTAAGTAGGATGTTGTAATTGCTTGGATTTTGAATGTCGACTGATATATTACACATTCACTTGTATATTATCAGTATTTATTGAACAGCTTCTGAAATGTTTTGTTATATAAATAGTTTAATTTTCAATTAAAGAACAGGAATAAGATATAGTTTTAGTCATTCACAAGATGTATAAGAGTATTCATTTCTAAACTTTGGCTTATCCACCGTTCATGCTAAACGCCTTTCGAACAACCGGCCCCAGGCTAGTAGATTTTTCACGTGCCCAGCGAAGTCTTTGTAGATCTGGGGCCGGTTGTATGAAAGCCAGATATAGCGCTATCCACTGGATAGTGATTTTTTCAACCGTTCTAAAAATTCTTGAAGAGCAATACAACTTCAGCTTTGGAGCTAGCAATTGTTAAAAAAGAACTTCAATTTAGATTTTTAAGCGATTGAAAAAATTGCTATATACTCCGGCTCTCATGTAACCGGCTTTTGACTTTCCTTATAATATACACTCAGATAAATAATCAAGACTTTGCCAGGTTCTCAAAACTTAATGAAAACTTCTCACACAGCGAAATGGTTTTTCATTTTCAATACAATATGTAACTAGTCGGCATAGGAAATAGCACGGTTAAGAGTCGTTATTGTCAATATTGAGAAATTGCACGCGGTACCGCTACGAATTACGGATATTTCGGCCAACACAAGCCTAATTTTTTCTTCAATATTGTTCAATAACAATTTTACACGGACTTGGTGACAAATGATTATTTGAATTTTTCAATTACGATTTTCTTAATTTATATATTTTAATCACATAATGAATAAATTATGAAGGAAAATATCATTGCTGACGTGCTGAACTTAGCGGTAGTCAGGAAGAGTTAGGCTGGATTTCCACTTGCAGAAAAATGCGAGCTGCATGCATATCGTCATATCACAACCGTTTCCTTGCATGTCCGCCAGTTTTGTTGGTCAGAATAGATGATCAACCATGCAATTTGTATCGGAAAATACTCAACTGTACTGAATTAAAATCGTTTCAAACGCCATTAATACTAAATTAGAAACAGATTTTTCTCGTATAGTTACCATAAAGACCTATTTATTCCAGGTTATACTAACATGCTGCTGTTCACTCATTGCGAAAACAATCAATTTCTAAAGAAATGAAAAATTACGAAAATTTTGCATTAATTTTCAAAATTATATTAGCGCGCTGGCCTCATATAACTGCCAGGCTAAACAAATATATGACTTTTAACATTATTGATTTCCTGACATGTGCAATGTGACTTTAAAAAAGTGATATCGCGTACGCGCGCATTCTAATACAACAACCGCTGACAGTTGACAAATTGCTATATATTATTCACTACGTTCTTTTAGATTACGTGTGATTTCGACATATCTGCTCGGAAAATAGGCAATACGTCCACTTCACTGATAACTGATGTTCTGCAAAGGTATAAGATTTCTTTTATCTAACGGAGGCTCTTGAAATTAGGTAAAAATTCTCCAAGTTTCCCTTCTCGCTAGAAATTCGCTTCGGTAGAAAAGCCAATGACGCATAATATTAAATGTTCAGTGATTGCTTTTTCTCATCTGAGCTAATTTAGTCAAAATGCGTTATTCCGTTAAGGTTTTTTCTGTTGTTAGTCAATTACAGTATAAGTGAAAATCATGCAACATAACCCTCACAATTCGGCTTCTAATTGTCAAGAATTGGAATTAGGTGAATAGCTAGCTATACCGTTGTATTCTAATAAAAAGTTGAATTTTGATATATTTCTCCAGGAGAAAAAATACCGACGTTAATTGAAGAAAGCGACTTCTTTGTGTTGCCGGCTTTTTCTTTTATCGACTCTTAATGACTAAACTAGATTTGGCAAATAGTTTGAACTCAATTAAAACTTCCGACACCGCTAAATGTTTTTAAAAACGATTGTAATTGCTTTGAATATATATTAATCGTTTTCGTTTGTGTCGTTTATCAGTTCATCCGTTATTACTATTTTTAATTATAATATAACATTTATAGTACGCGCGTGCTGATTGGTTGAGAAGCGTGTTTCTATTTAACAATTAGACACGAAGGCAAGTTATCTAATTGTTTTAATATACACCCTGTACCTAGTTATATTAATTTCGAGAAAATAATCGATACACCGCAATTACAACGAAAAATAATTTAATTAAATCAATTTTATACATTCGCGCGAGCAAATTTTTCCCAAACGTTCACTATCACGACTAGACAATGGTGAGTAGCCAATCAGAATGTAGGATTTGTATAGACAAGAGTCGGGTGTATCTAAAACTGTAAAGAAACACCGAATGTTTTCTACTATCTTAATTGAAAAGTGTAATTAAGTGGACTCCTTGTAAAATTTTACCAGTTTTCATACATTATACAATAAGTTATATGCTAATTTCACTTTGTATTTTGTATTACTATATAGGCATTTCATAAGGATGACTTTACTAGCTCATTCGATATATATGTATATATAGATAGATACTCGAAATCTAATTAGAATTGCATATATGCTGTGTAATATGATTGAAATCCCATGCAAATGTAATCATATGCAATTCTAATTAGACTTCGAGTATCTATCTATCTATCTATCTGGGGCCAACGTTTTTGCAAATGGGTGTATATATATATATATATATATATATATATATATATATATATATATATATATATATATATATATATATATATATATATGTATAGGTTATCACATGAGGGGCGAGGTGATATCAGTTTTATCGCTTGAGGGACGATATCATAAATGTCACGAGTGAGCGCAGCGAACGAGGGTCATTTATGATATCGTCCTGAAAGCGATAAAACTGATATCACCTCGTCCCGATTGTGATAACCTGTTTATCACATACTTCCTTTTTTTCTATAAAGCAATCGACATCGACTGAAACAAACCTCGAACTGCTCGAGTCAGCCATCTTTGTTTTGAGTTTTGACAGCGGCAAATGCAGCGGGACAAAAAGCGATATCAGTGACAAAAAGCGATATCAGTGACAAAAAGCGATATCAGTGACGATATCGTTTTTATGTCACCCTGTTATCGCCCTGATAAAGGCACAAGTATGTGATAAATATATATATATATATATATAAGTAGCGATACCGTTTAGAAAGGAGACCTGACCTGACAGGCGGAACTGAATATGCCCCCCCCCCTAACAAACACGCCAATTATAGCATTCTTAACTATATTTATACTTTTTCTTTCCCAATTTAACCCTGCCTTTTGAACTTTTCCATTGGACGTTAGTCTTTGCAAATGATTGGCCGCAAGAAACGACCATTACAACTTTCTGATTTTTCCAAACTGTAACCGAAGAAAATGAATATAGATATGTCACTCCAGTGCGATATTCATCCATGCGTATGGCAATTTAACCTATTTTATACCCAACCTTCGCTTCGGAGGAAAAACGCCGCTAATACCTTTATTACAGAAATACATTTTTAGCATATGTCATTTTGCAAACCAAGCGGGAATAAATCTTCAAGCTGGCTGTACGCCCCAAAAAAAAACTCAACCTTTGAATCTAAACATATACAGTAAATAGGCATTTGCATGTATGATGTTGTACTTTACCTTTCATTGGGCTTGATGTTGTAGGAGGCTTTCTTCCTTGAACAAAAATATCTTAACTGAATTTCAGTGGAATGAGGAAATTTTATTTCAAGAGTCTGATTTGACTTCCCCTGATTTTCCTGATTAGTTCTAGAAAAAGGGATGTTAGTTACGGTTATACCATTGGATGTTAGTATGCTACAGAAGTGCTTTTTCACGAAAATCTGGTCCCCTTTGCCCTCGCATCGTTCCAGGGTCCCTGGGAAAAAACCCCTCAAAAGTCTCAAGCTATGCAATTCTTTAAGTCGACATTTTATGCTAAGTGGAAGCACCAAAAGTTTCTGTGATAATTCACGTGACTGCATGAACCAATCATACGATGGATTATTCTGCGAAAATTTGGCGCCTTCGAACATTCTCTCGAGTTCTTTTGCCGTCATTCCCGATCAGAATAAGACCTCGTGTTTATTTTTCCTGCTCATCCTACATTTCTTCAGCACAGTGTCCTTATTATCTCTTGTGAACGCTGCTAGCTTGTCATCTAATAAAGGTACGTTGTTTATAATACCATAATGTAAATAAAAAACTCGCTGCCAGAAACCGATCGTAAGTGAACTTGTATAAAATGAATATATACAGTATTTATATTAAAAATACAAGATGTACGTTTGTACAATTATTTAGTGTAGACTGTAGTGTACAGGTATGTACAATTACGATGAATGTGAATAACAAGGTACAGGATGGTTATTTGCCTGAACGACTTCATGTACCGTTAATAGGTCATCCCGTGGAAATTTTTCTGTGATTTACCACCATAAAAATACAAGTTTTGTATTAACCTGGTGGCTGGTGACCTGGTTCGGGTTTGAAGAGTTCTTCTTGAATTACAAATATGTCTGTTGTCTAAGGCCTAAGGGAACAGAAAGTTAATATTACGATCTAGTTTGAAGAACGCAACGGTTGTGATTAGGTTAGATTATGTAAATAGATAAGTATTTAGCACCTGTGATATACAAGATTTGAAATATAGAGTGTAACTGGCATGCAAATCATCTTAAATATGGCAGCTATGAATATAGTGTCTTCCTGTTGTAAAAATCCAGTTGTGTAGTCACCCAAATTAGTGACAGTCAACAGCAAATGCCACTGCCAATGCTGTCATTATTTGTTTTCTAATCACAACTGCCAACAAATTGGGATATCCTAGTTTAGGACTGAGCAACATTTTATGTAATGAATTTTTTATTGTTTTGAAAACAATAGTGATACAAATTTTGTACTGTTAAACATGTAAATGATGGGGGAATATTTCACGGTAATATAAAAGAAAACAAACTTGGAATTATATATTCTTGCAACTTAAAGATTTGAGAACATACACAATGCTGAATATTTCGACTTTATTTCAAAATCATTGTCAAACCAATGATCAATTAAAAAGTTAATTATAAAGAAATTGATGTAAATGGTAAGATGGCATGAATTATGAACTATTTATAATGTGACAAGAAAGGTCTACAGAAGTAGCAAATGCCTTGAACCTGACAAACCCTTCCCCAAAGAGATACTGGTTGGAAAAACAATATGAAAATACTACATTCACTTCAAAACTCAAACACTATTCTTGCCTTCCCAGGAGGTGCTTCATGTTGAGTTTAACTAGGAGACTTCAGCCCTCATTGCTGGTCTCAATTAAGCCTCTAAAGAACTTATTTTTAGCAGTGTAGTTTCACATTTCCTACCATCTCTGCATTGATGTCACTTTACTTCATTCAACTGGAAAAATGATCTGAGCACTCATAAATAGCATATTGGTTTGACAGTGACTTTAGAGTGAAGTTGAAATACCACCAGAATTCTGCTTCATGTGTGTTTCATAACACAAATCTTTGCAAAATGTTATTCAAAGTTTAATTTTACATTTCATCAATTAAGTTGCCTGCTGGTAAAGAATTCTTAGTAAAATAGCTAGACTATAGTCGAGTGAAAAAGGATTGTTAGAAAGTCATGAGACAAAAGTTATTTCTGGAAGTTCACCACAAAATATTACAGATCTTGATTGGAATTCCATGTATCATAAAGTCTCTATTGTTGCCAAAATCAGGCAAGATATATATAGCCACTGCAGTAAATTTGTTTTCTTTTCTTAAGGGAAGTGATGGGTGATAATATAGATTCAGCAGAGGGAAGCTCACCCCCAAAACGTAAGTCAATGTTTTATTTTGTGTCAGGATTCTATGTTTTAGGACATTAGAAACATTCTAGTTTTTCTTATTTTAGAGGAGAGCATTGTTGCAAATATGATGCAAAATCCACAGGTTTTAGCTGCACTTCAGGTAAATACCAATAATTAATCATTTTGGTCTATAATTTTTGTTCAATCACAAAAATGTTCAAGCTTCCTAGGGAGATGTGGGACAAAATATCAAAGTGCCCATGAGTTCTGAGGGGTCTGGGAGCAGAAAAACTCCATGCAAATAAAGGCTGCTATGAGCAGAATTTGGTTTTGCCCAGGCTGTTTCAACAGTCACTGAAAACAAAAAATGCTCATTCAATTGTACATACATTTCTTTAATATAGTAAGACAGTGGGGGGTTGGTCAAGTTTCATCCGTGTTAAAGTGCCTTTCAGCCAACCCTAACATCTGGTGTTTTGTTAGAATACAAATGCGAAAATAAATTCAGACATAATTGTGATCCAGGTTTTTTTTGCTTGTTTTAAAAGGAACAATTAGGAAGAGTTGTTGGAACATCATCAGGATATATTGAAAGGTAAAATATAAACTTTCATATTTAATTATGAAGGCCTGATGTTTGCAGTCATGTCAAGTTGATAGATGTATTCCTGGTGTATGCAATATCATCAGTGGCCATTTAAATAAAAAAAAAGTTCCACATGAAATGGTCAAAATGATTTGTTTCAGACAATTTTGACTAAATGGAACCCAGGCCTAACCCCATTACTGAATTTCTTTCAGACTAAACTGGTATACTAGTTTCTCTGTATTAAATTTGTATCACCTTTACATCCACATTTAACATTGCAACTAGTGAACCTAAATGTTGCCCTGCTATATACGCTAAAAAACTAGTCATAAGTACGCTTTATATTGTGTTGTCAAATGATTTGCATCAAATGTGGTATAACGTTGTAGAACTGTCTAAAATAGACAAAAAAACACTTCTTGAGTTTTCAACCTGAGGGCCTTTGTCAGGAGAGTTAGTGAAATGATTAATTATATTTCTTTAGCCTACCAAAGGCTGTTCAAAGGAGAATAAAAGCATTGAAGAATATTCAGGTATATCTCACATAGCTGTTAACTTTTTAACAGTATAAACGTACAATGTTTGTATCTTGGTATAAATATAGTGTGTTTGCCAAAAAATTCTAACCATGATCTCCAAAGATTCTCAAGTGATTCACATAAATGATAAATTACTGATTATTTTAAATTTTGTGTCTGTTCGTTCATTCACTTTCCTGCATTTCCTGATACAGAGTACAGTACATATAGTTTAAGCAGCGACATCTTCCTTTCTCGATATATTTAATATAGGTGTCTTGCATGAAACTTGAAGCTGAATTTTACAGAGATGTCCATGCTTTGGAATGTAAATATGCCGAGAAATCTAAACAACTTTATGAACAGGTACAGTTTACCTACAAGATTTTTATAATTGTTATAGATAACACGATTCGGGTTGGTATAATGTAAACTTCGGGTATCAGAGCCCATAAAAAATCAGAGCCATATGGAAAGCCGTACGTAAAACAAATTAAAACTGGGTTCCTAACACTATTGGCTGTTTTCATGCATGTCACATCCGCGCCGAAGATTTGATGCATCTTACATAAGGTCCCTATTAATTGTTTTCACAGCGAGATTCTGTGATCAATGGCGATTATGAACCGACTGACGAGGAATGCGAGTGGGCAAGTGATGACGAAGATGAGGAAGATGGTGGAGACAATGAACAAAAATTGTCGGTAAGATTAAGTGGAGATATGAGCCCTATTTTACACTACACTCAATTTATCCGCACGGCCGTATTAGTAGCCTCAGCACTAATACAATTGGGCACGGACATTTCTATCGCACAAGACAGCGCGAACAGGAAATAAGAATGTCTTTAAAGGGAAATTTAGACAGATATGAAGGGATTAGAATTAAAGTAATTCCGAAAAATGAAATCATAATACAAATTTATTCTGTATATTTCGAATCAAGATCGATTCATCTTCAGCAGAATGGTGTGTCTAAAGAAAAAACTTCTGCGCTGCCTTAACGTTAACGTACAAATAAGAACGAAAGTAACAACAACAAAATTGAACTTATTTACAAACACCAAAGACAAAGTTCCTAAACAAAGCAAATCCAACATTGTCTACGAGTTTACTTGTCCAAAATGTAACAAATCCTACATTGGTAAAACTGACAGAACGCTACTAGAACGGGTACGAGAACATGCATACAAAGACGAAAATAGCGCTGTCAACAAACATCTAAACTCCTGTTACATCGCAACTGATTTGGACTCTAAATCTAACAATGAACTGACAGAACTTGTTCTGACAAATACTAAAATCATCGACTACTCAAACAACTGGAACTTGTTACTTTATAAAGAAGCATTGCACATCAAAAGACGCAAATCAATATTAAATAATGGATTAAAGGCTAGTAGAGAACTGCAGTTATTTAACTAATGGCAAATATTGCTGAACAGAAGAATAGCGGTTAACATTTGAATCCGTTGTACGTCAAAATTCGTTTTAATTGTTTACGCGTGCTACGCTCACGCATGTTTTAAATTGTACACGCTTTATAGTTACGCAAATCTTGTAAACCATTCTGCTGAAGATGAATCGATCTTGATTCGAAATATACAGAATAAATTTGTATTATGATTTCATTTTTCGGAATTACTTTAATTCTATATGTGCTAAAACTATCAGCTGGTAAAGGATTATGAAGGGATTAGGAACGTAAAATATGGTTATCGCCCAGTAGGTCAGTTGATTGATATTGTACAAAGCAAAAAGACATGAAGTGGGCAGTGGACTGGGTCCAGTGTTATGTTTGGGAGGGCAAAAATAAGTAACATTTTTCCGGTTGGGTTACTGAAAATGTGAGCAAACTTGCTGATATTAGTTTGAAACGAAACTCCCCCTTGTTGAATTCCTGTCTGCATCCTGTCGCACGAAAGAGTGTGTTTTAAAAAAATGAAGGGACTTACATTTTCAAATGTGTTTTTTGATCGTTTAAGCAGAACGAGCTAAAAGATAAGGCAACATTGGACGAAAATAAAGTAGATACAGAAACTCTTCCAGGTAAACGTTAAACCTTCTTCCATGCAGTTTACCTGGGTATTTCTTCTAATATATTGCCTTTAAACTACCAATTGCATTTTTTGGATAAACTAGTAATGGTGTGGACCGTGGAGGAACTTACGTGCATGAAATTGTGTTGTATTTCTGTTGACCCTTGATGAATTGTTTTACTGTAGAAAATGTTCGAGGTATTCCAGAGTTTTGGTTAACTGCGATGAAAAATGTGGATCATATTGCGGATATGATTCAGGTACTATAATATACTCATTTATTATTTATTAAACAACTTAGCATCAAATGTGCTATAACAACTGCCTAAATAGACAAATTACTTCTTGACGTTTCGACCTGAGGGCCTTATACCACAGCTGATGCTAAGTTGTTTGAAGACGCTGCCACGCTGCTCCTTGCTATATTAGAACTTATTTATTAAACAAATTGATAGAAAGAACACCGCAAAGAACATTTGAGAGTCCGAGGTGCAAAAGCATACAGCAGTCGAGTTATTAGAATTATTTATGTCTTTAGAAATTTATTGTTTTCACAGTCAATGAACAGCAAAATATTAGCATAGCGGGACAAATCGTCAGGCTGGCTACTACTGTTTGCACCGATGGAAAAACCAACAGAATGAGCGAAGCTACGTTAACACGGACCGGACGAATTTGGGACCGTGCCTAAATTCGTCGACTGGTTTTCTCGTTTGAACACGTAGAACCAGTCAAATTTTCGCGTTTTTACCTTGTGAAGGCCTGGGGCGGGTTGTTCGTTCGGCGTGTAGCTTAAACGGTGAATAAGTTCAAAATGCAAAACAAAATAATCTATTTATTGGACAACTGAGCCAAAATATTTCGGTGTAAATAGTTTAATTTTCAATGGAAAGAACATTTTTAAACACAAGATGTAGTTTAAGTCATTCACAAGATATATGAGAGTATTCTTTTTAAACTTTGGCTTATCTACCGTTAACGCTAAACGCCTTTCGAACAACCGGCCCCTGAACAGGACGAATTCCAACTTCGTCCAGTCCCGTGTGAAAGTGGCCATATTTTGAGGCCTGGTTTTAATACTGAATGCATGTATAACATAATTCATCGGTATGGCTATTGTGGCTGCATAAAATGCTTTGCATGTCTATCGGAAGAAATTATCTACATTTTTTATCACCGAAAATGGATCGTATAAAAAATGAAGAAGGAACTTCACCGATTAATCAAACCAGGGTTAAAAACCAGGGTTAAAAAGCACCATGGATCATGCAATCGTTTTTCACTCACTTAATGCGAGTGGGTGGAAAAATGCTCTGCTTTAATTTCTTTATGAATTACCATTAACTATCAAAATAATATAAGTTATTTATGGGAATATTTTATCGCACTCTAGGAACACGATGAACCCATTTTGAAAAACCTAACGAGTATCGATCTGAAGTTTATTGACGAGGAGAAGACCTCGCAGGAAAGCGGTGAAGGAGAGAAAGAAGTGACTATGGTATGGAGGTTATGGGATAACATCTTTGTAGCAATATAGTGTAGACCCTACCATTCCTTTTTATAAAAATAACGCGTGTTGTGATTAGTCGAAGCCCGTGTTTGGATCAGGCCATCCAAACATGCACAGAAATTTAAAGTTCTAAAGAATTTAAATTTAAATTCAGGCCTTGTCGTTGTTATTTTATTTCGAGTTAAGAAAAGCTAGCAAAACATACGCCTTCGGCTCGTGACAACTCTCGCAACATTCCCGCGTGTTTGGATCAGGCCATCCAAACATGGAAACCTGAAACCATGCATTAGGTAATTGTATATTATCTTTCATGCGGCACAATCAGTTAACTTCTATATGTTAATTTGTTTTGCGAGAGCTGGGCATAACTAAATGCTATTTTGGTTTTTTTTGATTTCACAAGAGTGCTAACCTAATGTTTAACCATTCCTCTTTACCTTTCATGCGGCACAATGTTAACTTCTATGCTTTTAATTTGTTTTGCGAGAGCTAAGAATGACTAAATTCTATTTTGATTTTTTTGATTTCACAAGAGTGTTAACCTAATGTTTACTTGGTGAAATTATTCTTGCTATTATTTCTTTGGCGAAAGTCATATTTGACATTCAATTATATCGCATTATTTCATTTTATAGGGTTTTGTTTTAGAATTCCACTTTGCTCCAAATGCATATTTTAATAATTCTGTAAGTATAGACAATTGTACTCGTATATACGTTTTAAGCCCCTTCCACACTACGTGCTTTGACCAGGCCTAGACCTGGGCTAGGCCACAAAATCCAGGCTAACAGAAGAGGTGGCCTGGACCTGACCTGGAACACGATTTTTGTAATATGAACGGGCTTAATTTACCTAGCCCTGACCAATTTTCAACATATAATACTATTTGTATAGGATTCATAATAGTATTACCAATTTTTGGCGTGTTTTGGCCCTTTTGGGTCTTGTTCCAATTTTGTCAATTATATGTTGGCTTTCCGATACAAGAAAGACAGTGTGAACGTGGCACATATAACCTAGACTTGTCTTAGACCTGGTCCAGGCCAGGTCTGTAGGCCCCTAGTGTAGGAATATTCTTTTAGCATTCTCAATTAAATAACATTTGTCTAATGCTTCTCTTCCGTGTCATTGTTTGCCAGGTATTAACGAAGACGTACAAATTATCTTGTGAAATTGACAAGGAAGCACCGTTTGGATTTGAAGGACCGGAAATAACTCACACGACAGGGTAAATTTTGTTCTATGTACTTGCTAACGTCTCTGAGTTGCCAATCTAAATGTGTCCAGCATATCCACTGCAATACAAGATGGTTCATGGGCCGCCTTAATTCGCACTAGCTCGCAAAGAACAACAACCTTGAGAGCTTACTGTAAGATTCGTGTTTTAGATGTACGATAGATTGGAAGAAAGGAAAGAATGTCACTGTTAAAGTGATAAAGAAGAAGCAAAAGCATAAAGGTAACTCCTTTTTCACCATTGTGTACAAATTGATCGATTTTCTAAAGCGTGATATGTTCTGTCTTTGGCCTCTGCAAATCCTGTCATGAATTGCATAGACTTTGCATTTAAATTCGCAGTAAGTATCAAGATTAATACGTAATCGAAAAATGCAGTAAGGCAAAATCGTTGTTATTATTCCCACAAATAGATTTTGTTTGATTTCGTGGATTTATATAGGAAAAGGACAAGGAAAATATGTGAACAAGACAGTAAAAGCTGATTCATTTTTCAATTTTTTTACTCCTCCTGAAGGTAATCCCGTTATTAAGGGGCGTTGCATAGTTCACGTTATGTATTTGTGATGAAAGTGAGCTTAAGCAAAGTGGCGTTTTTGACAGAGCGTACGTTGACCGGAAGTAAAGTTTTTTTTTCACCAATCACAATCCTTGTGACCCAGTCTTTTGACGTTGCTCATGCATGCCGTTTGTGTTGTCACAAAAACATCACTTGCTTAAGCTTACTAAAAACATGTTAAACCCCCATCAATTCAATTATTCTTTAATTAAGAATTAAAAAACGAGTCGCGTGCCTTTATGGTGTAATAATGCACGATGGGGGAATGTTGGGAGAATACGAGAGAAGCTTGTAAAACACGAGGCGTAGCCGAGTTATTACACCATAAAGGCACGCGACGAGCTTTTTTAATTCTTTTAATAATATAAGAAGAAATTATAGGGCAACAACAAAATTTATTTATTTGATCAATAAGGAAATTCTCCTTACATGTTATTTAAGATGTTGCTTAGCAACAAAAATTTCAAAAGCCAGAAGCGTGCATTATGGCCTCACAATGCACGCGCGGTCGCCAATCAAATTGCTCGTTATATCATACTTATATTATAATGCGTTTTAAAACCTCTTTGCTTAATATATACTTTGCTGCTGTACTGATTATTTATCTGATTGCAATAAGAGCAGCCGGATTGTGATTTCACTATTGTGTTAAATTTCTTTTATTGCTCTATGTATTGATGCAAGAAATATAGTATTGTAAAGTAATGAGGCACAATTGTATGGTCTCATGGTGGCCCACTGTCGATTTAACATTTGAAACTTATTCTTACTTTTGTATTTGAATTTGCAGTACAGGAAGAAGAAATGGTACGTATTTTGAAAATTGGTTTCCAACCAATATTTAATTGTTTAGATAATATAAGGCAAGGGTCTTGCCATTGAATCAGGAGGACAGCATACCAAGTCTGCTCTGGCAAGACATCTGTAGTAGATCTCGACCCCCGGGCCGTATCTAGGGGGGTATTCATGTTTACATACCGTTGAAACAGAAGCTTTCAAAAGAAATACAATTTCAAAAGGAATGGGCATGCTCGACCCACATTTTTCTGTCGATGTTACCCAATAACTCCAAATTTTAATTTTGGAGTCAAGTGCGTAAACCGACTGAATGGGTTCAAAGTTTAAACATAACTATATTCAATTCCATTCCATTCCGGGAGAACGAATTTTATATAGTAACACTGTGATACTTTTGTTCAGGATGAAGAGACCGAACAGCTGTTAGAAGCAGATTTTGAAATCGGACATTTTTTCCGAGAAAACCTCATTCCAAAGGTACAGGCAAATGGAAGTGCGAACAAATTATAGTTTTACCAGATCTTTCTTTGTGTGAAGAAATATAACTAGGATATAAGTAATATATAACGTTTTGTAATTCTAGGCGGTTTTATTTTTCACTGGTGAAGCTATGGATGACGAGGTATTAAACTGGTTTATTTCATTATTTTGTACCTTTTTGCGTTAACTGTGGGAAAAGGGAGGGACAATTTTTTTAAAGTATAACTTAGATCCTCAAAAACAAACGTCCGGTTAAGTTCAATTCCTTTCATGTGGCATAGAGGCCGTGCTACACGATGCAATTTTTCTTGCAACTTGCAATGCAATTAATTCTACTTTGGAAAGAGTTAATTAACGGGGAAGTAACAAAGCTTTTCAAATCTATTCTTACTGAAAACTGTAAGTTATAACTTACAGGAACCACTTAGTATTTTTGTCAAATAAAAAGGTTACGCTGGTCGCTGGTTTAACTGCATTAATGTGGTTTTAATGAATATATGTGTCGATTTTACTCCTGCTCATCCATTGCAGGAAGTTCGAGTTCAGTCGGCAACGTTGATTTATTGTCATTGAAACTACAAAATGTTTTTCCGAGTTTATCTTTTTTTGTGCTGTATAGTGTAGTCAATGAAATCGTGACATGATAAATCATGGTCTTTGAGGAAACGACAAAATGTCACTGATTTTCTTGCTGGTTCTTTGCTTCAATTAATTGTTAATTTTATTTCAACAATTTCTTGTTTTTAGTTTGACGAGGAAGAAGAGGTTTGTAGCTACTCTCGGATAAATGATAAATGTATATCTGTATACAGTAGAGACGATAATGTTGGCATGTAATATAGACTAAAGTGAGACGTGCTTCTGATTTTCAACCTGGAGTGATGTTTTTTAATAATCAGGAGGACGAAGATGACGATGATGACGAGAATCAAGGAGAAGACGATGAAGATGACGACCCAGATTTTAAACCACCTGAGGTCAGTGTGGCAAACACCTCTAGCAAACTAGGGGCTCGACAGAACCGGCTTGAATTATATTAATTATTGATAACTGCAGATACTGGGCAGGCGAGAGAGTATCGAGGATTTGGGAAATTCTTACAAATCAGTGCTTTGGTTCAAAAATTTACTAGCAAATGTACTAGACTCTATTATAACCAGTCAAACATTTTTATATAGTTACCAGTTTATATAGTTACCAGTTTTGTTTTTGAGGTACCAACATTTGAACGGATTTTAACCCGCCGAAGGAATAATTCAGTCATGAACTGCGAAAGAAAGGAATGGAATTACCGGGGCGTGTTACCTAAACCCTCAAACTATACCCGGCAACTGCACTTTCCCTGCGAACCCCCCCCCCTGGATCCATCCCTATTTCTACCATTTCAAACGTGATCGCATGAGGCCTTGAATTTAGCTTTAGAAATGTTCGGACAAACTGATATATATTTTCTTAGTTGCCATGTGTTTTATGATGTAGACATTGAATTCTATCGAACTTGCTGTCATTGTTTGCAAAGACTTGAAAATGTGGTTTTTTTTCGCAGGAAAATCCTCCAGAATGCAAACAACAATGAAGGAAGCCACTTCAAGTGGTACTCTCTGGAACTGTTGCTTCGAACTTCGTGCAGAACCTTCAAGATAGAAATTCTTAGAAAAAATTCATTCGTCGTTTTAGACTCGAGATGGGTTTTCTATGCATATACGAGTATCATAGTATGCACATTACAGTCGAATAATTTAACAGAGTACTCAAATGTTAAATAGTAATTTACTACACATAGAGTCTGTGTTAATTTCTCTTTGTTTGCATGATTGTGTTATTTATTGACCGTACGCAAGCTAGAGTGGTATTTTTCAGTTGCTGTTTCAGAACGCACTAAACAGGGCTTGCGGAGCGTATCAGAGAGTGAGTGAGGGGTGGTTAGTAAGGAGGGGGGGGGGTTAGTAAGGAGGGGGGGGGGTTAGTAAGTCCTAAATAGAACCTCCCCAGTGAAATTTTAATCTTCTAGACCGATTAACTCTTTAGTACTAATTTTATTCAACTCCCAAAAATGTGGGGAGATCTACTACGTCGGTTCGCATTCGTACTAACAAGCCATCAAAGTATTAAGTCCGTAATGACAAGAAACCAAATACATGTTCGCAACAAAAGTCGCTTTAAGGCTGCTCTCCACTTACACGTTTTTTATACGCACGTACACGTGCGGAAAATTTTAAATGCTTTTAAATTTTTATTATTTAACATCTAGGTCAACTAATGCATACTAAAATATGCAGAAAACCAAGTTCCTACGATCTATTCACTTGGTTTTTTCAAAAGTAACATGTATAAGGATTTAGACTTTTACGTGCGTGTACGTGCGTATGAAAAACGCGGAAGTGGAAAACAGCCTTTATTTGAGGGCAGATTCAGCCTCGTTCCCGGGCGCTTTAAATAAAATAAGTATAGATAGACTACAGGCTCTCTACTGGAGGAGAGAGGACTACAGGTTTGCGTCAGTGGCTTGCGCTCGCTCAGCTTAGCCACTGATCTATATAAAAGCCTGTGGTGTTCGTATATTTATTTTATTGAAAGCGCCTGGGAACGAGGCTGGGGCAGATTACTGTGCAAACAATTTTGTAAAGCACCACTGTAAAGTACACTCGGGTTGGAATGCTAAACAGAAAGTTCTAGTGTCAGTAGTGTGCGCCAGACGATCGATAAACGTTCGCGAATACGGTATTTATTATGGATGTAACAGTGACACTCGCTGGTGAAACTTTACACCGCTTCCGCTGCAGCACTCGCTGAGGGCCAGACGTGCTAACGACGACCAATCAGAACGAGCGAATTTAGCGGAAACACTGGGTGCTGACTGCTGATTGGTTAAGTCAATGCCATGCCGGAGCATATGTTTATTGCTCACCTTGCCCCATACTTAAGCTGGTTTGTCTGCTTTTTCTCTGCGTTCCGCAGCGCTTCTTTACATTATTTGCGAAATGTAAGTATAAACTGTATAATCATACTATAATGTGTGCTTTAATTGTGTTTATCGCTGTAATAAACAATATATTGCCTAAACAAGATATTTTCTATTATCTGTAGCGTTGATATCTGTCTTGACTTGGCAGTCTTGAACGATTTGACTTGCACGTGCATTATTTCAACCTTTGAAATATATCAACTTCTGATCAATAACAGTTACTTTTATGTAAGTATAGTAAATATATATTTATGTATTATGGATTGACATAATGTGCTACGATACAAGCTCTATCATTTAGACGTTTTAGTCAAAGTGAAATGTTTATAGCCACAGGGCTTAGCTTTCACTAATGGTGCACGCATGAAATCTTTTGGCTTTGATGATCATGCTTCTGGCTTTACCTAAGTAAGGAAGTTTATATATGTCTGCTGAAATAACTATATTTTTGGTTCGCGCTGAACAAGCTTGACCAGTTTGCTTAATAACTTGAAGGTATAAACTATAATGTAAACTAGGAGTCTATATTTATTGATATATACAAGGTTTAAGGTGTCATGGCGTTTTGCTAAACATGCTACTAGCGGCTAAATCTAGGAATGCAGTCACTGCACATTTTTATGACGCCTGGGGCGATATTGCTACAGGATAACTTGAGATTATCGTGGATAATGATGGATTAGTAAAATAATTTCACAAAGGTCATGTGACTCATTGATAATGATCACTGAGCTACGATAATGTTATGATAATAATGGTAAAATAATTTCACAAAGTGCATGTGACTCATTGATAATGATCACTGAGCTACAATAATGTTATGATAATGGTAAAATAATTTCACAAAGGGCATGTGACTCATAGGTACCTGTCACTGAGCTATAATATAATTCAATTACTGAATTATTATATAGCTCAGTCTGTCAGTCATTAGTGGTGTGGTACCCTACTACCCATTCAGCTAGTGTTCATATTTGTCCACAGTACGGTACAGGATGTCAAACACTGAGCTAGTGATTTCAAATTATTAAAGTCAGTAAAAACAATATAATAAACAAAAGAAACAAAAGGCAAGTGTATAAAGTGCTAGTGTTAAAAGTATATATATTTTAAATACCTTTTAAGAAATATATTTAATAATAATGCTCTCTATTTCTCCATTATATATAACATAATTATATTACATAAATATGAGTGCCAATTGAAAGTTATTGACAATTGTCTCCCTAATTGTCAATTCTGATTGATTTACCAATTGTGCAGGTATAACCTATTGCTAATTGTCTACCTTATGAATTCTTTTGTGTGGATGAAGAATCATGAATTACCATTGAAATATATATTTTCACATACAGTATTTGACAATACCATTCATCATGTTCACTTTTGATTTTTACACATTCCCTAGATGTTTGAAAGGTAAAAAATTAATGCATCTATGTCCAGTGGCAGGCTGGAAACTAGCTAGTGGTCCAAGGTGGCATAACTGAGGGTGTCTTTGTGCTCCTAAGCTAGGGGGTTAGGCAAAGACAAAAAAATTTCAATAATGCTGTACCGAGATAGGTTAGGAATTCTTTAGTACAATGCCCTCACCTTTGCATTGGTAAAAAATGTGGGGATGAGTTAACATTATGCCACATTAATAAAAATAGTGTTTAAAGCTAACTGTAAGACACTAAAAATATAAAATTAATTTAATTAATTAGCTTTGCCAATATAATGGCCATGTTTTTTTATCCAAGTACTATTTGATGGATATTTAGTTGAAATTCAATGATTCTTCTCATTGATGTTTTTTGTCAAGGTGGATGTCTTTCTCTAAAAGAGGCTTGTTTGTCTCTCATCTTGACTAATTTGTTTGAAACACCAAAGCAACTAAGCAAGTCCTGAACTAGAAGTTATGTATTCATATTGTTAACTGTCAGTAATACTGTATTAAGCCATACAGTTGTCGAGAATTTGCCTCCAAATGTCATCCTCAACAAGTCACATAGTTTTCATAGTATATTTATATATTAACGAAGTAAAGAATTCCAAATGTCTGTTACAAATTTCCAAACGAATCTCACTACTCACACCGTCAGATAGATAGCACACGGACTATAACTTTCTCTCTCTTTCGCTCACTATAGTTCCTCACTCACTGAATGTCTCAGTCCGACTAACTCTCTCGCTCTCGTGACCACACCACATACACCTTCATCCTATCAATCACTGTTACATAACTAGAATATAATTAATCAAATATCGAATATTCGAATATTCGAACTCAATTAATTAATCGAATATTCGAACTCAACAACGAACGTACAACTAATAAAATTTAATCAACTAGAAACAAGGGCCTTTGAACCGGTATAGCACGATGTGTAACTCGTAGGTTAGGCGTAGATAGTATACTGTATAGATGCGTAGAATTGTAGCTAAATTTTTGATTGATGAATAGACGCAGACGTAGATATAGATGTGGCAGGTAGGTGGCAGGCAGGCAACTAAAATATGACAGTAAAAACTACTAAGCTAAACTGCTTAAACCATGCAGCAAAACACAATGTCAATGTCATTAACAAACTAACTATAAACAATAAAGAATATAACTATTAAATTTACGTATTTTGGTTTACACTTGTGCTCCAATTGTCGTAGAAAAATTTTAGTTGAATAATTTGCGCGTAATTAAACGTCTTTACTATACGACAGTCAAACGTAGATTTAAATGTGTGACCTGTGTCACGCAAAAGCTACCAAGGCAGTGTAGCCTGAAGGCAATTAGCTATACAATAGCACAATAAAGCACAATGCTGCATTACTTCGAACTAACATACAATGCTTGTGAAACAGCCCATCAAAAGGTAATTATTATTACATTCCATCATTAGTTTTTGGAAAGAGTGAAAGGATATCTTCTTTGCTTGGTTTTGTCAATTTGGATTCGTTGGCCGTTTTGGCTTTTTTCTTGGTTGATCGAAATCCTTTTTGCTTTTCAATATTTTTGTTAGCTGGTGTGTTAGATATTGGTTGGAGGCATGGTTGCTTTTGCAGCGATGAAAAGAGGTTCTGTGCAGCATTGATTTGTTTGTCTAACTGTTGCAATGCCTATTTGTTGATACATGACTCCGTTTGTTCTGACAATGTAAGAAGTTTCCTTGATGCCTTGTATATTATTTGGCACGTGGAGATGTGATGCTAAGAGTCCCAATTCCTCAGGTGCATATAGAAATCTTGTGATTGTGAACTGTTTAAAACTTTCATTGCAATATCATTTGTCTGTTTGGTGTCAACAGATAAAAAGTGTTGTAACAGGTGTATGTGTTTGCATATGGTGTGCTGAATGAGATAGTCATGACAGGTGCATGTATACTGGTGTATGCACACTGAAATGCTACATTCTGTGCATCTCAACTGACACGTGTCTATGCATGTATGCTGATACTGTATATGTGTCGGAACCATTTTCCTTTTTTATCAGCCATTTTGATTCGTCAACGATTAAACACTATCAATTTTGAATTTTCAATCCTTTGCTGTTGTTGTGGGGATCTTGTATGGTCTTTAATTTGTTAGTGCTCTTTCCTTTTATTAACCTCTTTTATTAACCTCTGAAACAGTTTGTCTCGGGTGTACTTAAGGAGGTTGAACAAGCAGTTGTCAACTCTTCTGTGTATTTCCCGTCCAGGTACTTATACTTGAAAACACGATGAAATGCCTTCACAAGCATATTGGTATTAATTCCCATTCCTTTCCTGTAGCAATATGCCCACGATTCTTCCCTGCCTTACCATTTATTTTGAAAATATTGACAGAATTCCAAGC